CTTGTATCAAAACAGTTGCGAATGATCCAGTTTTTCCTGCTTCATTAATTGTTCCAACTAAATTCCCTAATTTCATTCCAAAAAATTAAAACTTTCAGCTGTGAAACCATCTGATCGTGTGCTTTTATTACTTTTTCATACTTCAAAAACAATTAGGTATTTTCGTTTGGTAATTTGCCTTCTAACATTAAAGCTTATTCTTGGTTAAGTCTATGAGTTGTATAGCTTTGAGTAGGACCTCTACGTCTCTATCATCAAATTCATTTTTCTCTTTATATAGACCATTATAATACTCCTTAAAGTCCCGTACAATATCAAATTGACTAGTAATAATTTCATTTTCATCTTTAATTATTTTTGTAATTGTTTTATTTACATAGTTTCTATTTTCTAGATGGCAAAAGTATTGTGTTGGTTTTTCACCCTCTTCCATCAGGATATAATAATAGTTACCGGAAGCTTTTCTTTTCTCTTACTATAAAGCATTGTTTTAAATTCCATTATTTCAAAATCATAAGTGTCCAGCAACCATTCTCTAAGACCTGTATTTGCTGTACGAGTTCGTTATCTTGTTTTCTTATGCATCTTTTTTCATACGAAGCGTATGTATGTTTTTCCACGATTTTCCATCAAGACAATAATGAATAACATAAAGTCAATCTTAGACCTGAATGTGATACATTGGCAACATTTCTCACATACTCAGTTGAAGCATATTGTAGTTTTTTTCTATTCATGTAATTCTTCATTTTATCAGTATACTTTTTATTAACCAGTAAAGAAACCATTACCTATATTTAATTATTGGAATTTAAATGCAATATTATCATGAAATGACCAGATTTGTAAATTGATTCAATTATCACTTTTCCTACATGTGGCATAAATGATTCAGACACAAGAACGAAATCTAATTTAACTTGTCCTAAAGGACTTTTTCTTCTACATGTGTAACTCTTTGCTCCTGTATTTAATGCTCTTAATGAATCAACAAGGTCAAAAGTTTAATTTATGCTTAATAACGCATTCTTAGCATTACGATTTTAAATAACTTCAATCTAGTTCTGAATCGTGAAACTATATAATAGTAGATTCATTTTCATATTCATGTAGAATATGGTTCATATTATTGTCAAATTCTGGACAGTTATTCATTTATGTATTAATTAAAGGGAATTTATTTCACTAATAATAATATATAATGCAATCAGATTACTGTCCGGGTGATTTTTATATTCTTTAATTATGCTCAAAGTTGTTGTAAAAATAGAATACAAACTCCTCGAGAGTTTTACCTGTAACAATTTTACATACATTCTCAACCCATTGTGCACTAATATATGACATTTCATTTTATGTAAAATGCTTATCTTGCATACTATATATTTGACGCTGTATTCTTCTTAAATAATTATAAAAAAATACTTACAATTTTCAAAATCTGCAGGTTTCCAACAGTTAGCAGATAGTGTTTGTATGTTTACATTTTCTATTTTCAATCTAAAAGCATAAAGTCGTCACATATAGAATGCATAGTGTCTTGTTATCAACAGAGAAAGTGGTTATAAATACAACATATATGTTTAGGGAAAACATAAAACATCAGTGATATGTGCCAGGGCAAAGTCGATCTTGAACTATATCTGAACTGAAACAGTCTACAGTATTGAAAGATAAATACAATGGTATGTAACTCATTTTGTAAGTTAACCATGCATCTGATACTATCATAGCAAAGAAAACACAAATAAAATAAAACAAACAAAATAAAAACACAATAAAAAGCAGAGGTAGATTTAGTGCCTTCGTGCAAGACATACAAGCATTAGTATAGTGAGATTCAAATAAATAAATAAATTAAAAAAATTTTCTCGCATTAGTACCAGAAAATGGAATAATGGAAAGAAAATGTTCATTCAAGATGTACGTTTGACTGTGTTCGTATGACAGCTATATTTGCATTCATGCTTTGGTTCGTTCATTCTCAATTTCTGTTTTTGCATGCTTTAAAAATTATTATCATATTGTGAGAAAGTACTTTACATAAGGATTGTTTCACAATAGATTTCCTTTATTAACTTTTAATTGTTGTCTTTGTGTAATTTTTCTGTCATTTTGCAAACGAACTAAGATAACTTAATGCTTGCTGCGTTCATTTCGCCAGCTAAATCTGTGCATAGGAGTGATCACCCGTAGATTTGGTGTTCAGCAGGCCTGTTTAGCAGTCAAACTTCCTGTTGCCTGTCTAAATTGTGTACCTCTTATGATCACGTATTATATTTCCACATCGGTCAAGTGCACGTTTCCTGGTTTCTGGATGCATTTTATATAAATGATAAGATCAGTTTTTACCCATTTACTCCAGTCAGTTCAAGGACCTTGGTGAAAGTATACATCCACAATATTTTGCTTTAAGTTTCAATGATTGACAATGTTTGTTACTAAGTCTGTGTATTGCTGAGTGCACTCTTGCCTCAAGGTTTCTTGAATAGTTAACATTTTCAAGCGATGAAACACTTATCGATTTTTTTTTCATAGCTTCGCATTTCTTCATGTGTGTGTTTAGTCTGAATCTTTATATAACATCACAGAAAAGTTTAATTTTCAACATTTCCGGGAAATTCGTACTGAGTTATTTTTCTATTATGTCCTTATTTTCAATCCCACTGACCCTCTAATTATACTGGCATGCCATGTAGTCCCATTAATAATTGAGCAACGAGGCATCCAATAAACAGGGAAGTAGACATTTGATAACTTTTACATTATTTGTGTACTCCAACATTCGTTTTGAAACAGGAGCGGACTTTTATGTTTTACTGCCAATCTATTTCCTGCAGCGTTTTTCTTTTTCTTGTTTTATTCCAGGAAACTGGTAGATGCAGAACTGCACCTTCTGAACTACGAACGCCAAAATGAGTGGGAGCGTGCAGCAATCCTTCTGCTTCCCACATTGGATATAAAATGGCGTAAGCATTCGGAAAACCAGAGAATCATCGAAATTGTGCTACCGTTAAATAAAATTTACTTGCAGTACAAACTTATTTCTTTTTCTGTTGCCATACCATGCTCTGAATGTGTTGCGACTGACGACAGATTTGCTGTGCAGTGAGTATGGTCTTCAAGACAATGCGCATAAAAAACATTGTCGATTTAATCATGCTGCAGTCCGCCGCAGATCGTTTCTACTGTAGTTTCAACTATAGATTTTGTTGACAGACAATTTTTCGACAACCTTACATGAACTTTGGCCTTGATATTTTGTGTCTAACATAAATTACATTGTATCTTACATCAGCTAAAATAACTGCATGAAAATATATATTTATCCTTTATTCCATTATATAATACCATATAACTAGCAAAAGCTGTGTTTTTCTGGTATCGAAGAACTCTACCAACTCACCTTAGGAAGACTAAGATCTGATAGCTCCTTCATTTGATACGTAAGTTAGTAAACCTAATTTGCATATTCGGATGCTACCCGATTTTGAATATTCATTTAAATTTCATTTAATTTAAATTTTCTCAAAAATTATGCATCATGTTTTAATTGACTCGTTTAGGAGAGTTAGATAGTCAGCTAACTGTAATTTGTCTTACGTGTTTATCTCAAATGGTAAATTCACAATTAGACATAACCTTTTCTTCATGTTTTTACAATTCCCAATGCTATCTTTCTTATGTTAGAAATAAGCCGAATACTGTCAAATAAATGGATCAAATTCATATACGTGCAAATTTTGCAGCAGTATTTCAGACACATTTTATTCATAACATGTAAAGCTTATTTCAATTCCAATTAAGCTTACCCTGACAGGTTTCAGGTCACAATTGTTACTTTTCAATCAGTACCCATCATGTAGATCCAATCTATTTTAGAGCACAGTTTTCTCTCTCATTATTGTGATACTACATGACTTCGATTCAGTATTTATCAATATTGATTTAAATTAAATTGTTTATCCTTTCGAAAATGAGCATTATGGTTAGCTTGTGTGTATTTTGGATACATTGTGCAGTGAATAACGAGGGATTTGCGCTATCACGAAAGTTGACCCCACTGTATGTTATTTTGTTTACATTATGACACAAATTCCACCGTGAGATCATCTTTAAATATACTTAAGAGTAGTATGTGATTCATGAGGATTCTGATGCACTTAAAAACACAGTAGTGACAAATAAATGTAGGAATCACAATAAATTCACTGTGATCAGAATCAACGAGAAAAAATATAGGTCTCTATTGTATTTATCAAAGGCAGTGAATTACACCCGAGATTTCGTTCCGGACTTGACGTAAAGTGGTCCGATTGACAAAGAAGACAATTACAAGCAGCACCATTGTGTATAATTACTAACTGAAAACGGTCTCACATATGATGACCGAACACAGGGCAATGAAAACAGTATATATCCAAAAACTTGTAAATTTGAACTAAGACTAGAATTGTACACTATTCTCAGATACCAATCCTTATTTTGGATGAAAAATGGAAGACATGTTGAACATACTCTCAGGGTGTTTCAATGTTATCATAAAGTCTTTCTGTATTGCAACTAAATACGATAACCAGAAGAAAAAAAAACTAGAGTGGGATCTTTTATTCAGAAACAAATAATTTGAAAATAATACTCAAGCAAAAAGAAATAATTATTTTCATTTTCATTTTAACAGAGCACTTCTTAATGCTGTTCTCTGCCTCATCATCGTTTTTTTTTTGTGAATTGAGATAGTTTCAATGACAGTGGTACACAGTGACCAGAGGCGATGTTCGTTCTAATACAGCATCGAATATGCATTCCAGCTAACAACTAAATGTCTACAGAGTGGCAGTTTATTGTGATGTCTAGCACTGTGGCATCCTACCGCAGACATGTTGCATCATGTCCCCACCCAGTCACATTATCCTGACACCTGGCCGACAAGTCATAACACTAACCTCTTAATGCAGAGTGCCAAGCGAGGCAGCTATTAGTACTGTTTTTAAAAGTCTTTGGCATAATTCGGCCGGTGTTCGAACCCGCCATTTCCTGCATCCGAGGCGGGCGCTTTAACCGCCTGAGCCACCGGAAGGGTCATGAGTCCAGTCAAGTGAACCACTGAGTCACCGAAATTCACGCTATGATAAGGAATTATATAAGAGCTAGGGAGACTTGTGTTCCAAATATATGTAGATGGTATTGCACTAAAATGCCTGAATTTTCTCTCGAAAGTATTGATTTTTCCCGGGCCTGGTATAATCACTAATGGATGAATTGTTAGAGTACGGTAAGCACCATTTACTTTCCTTCACTCTCAACAGTTAACATCACATATATATTGCTGTTACAGATAATGAAGCGTCAAACGCCTAGAGAGGGGATTCGTTCATCACTGAATGTGTATCGAGTGTATGTCACGTGTTTTTGAAGATTTTTAAGATATAGTGCAATACTTGAAGTTTGCTTCCAGCACCTGAATCTACATCAGCCCTTCGAGGAAATAGCTTTGGCAAATTCGCACTTTTGATTGGAGTCGAAACTACTCTTGGTGATGATAGGTTGCATGGTGGACATTTATGTATATTAAGACCTTAACGAAGTGGTTCACAACGATTAGCGCCATATAATGCTTTGTTTTACAATTACTTTCGTCAGTCTAACGCACACACACAAACACACACACAAACACACACACTCATATATATATATATATATATATATATATATATATATATATATATATATATATATATATATATATATATATAATCATGAATAGATAGATAGATATGTATCCATGATTATATATATATATATTTATATATATATATATATATTTATATATATATATATATATATATATATATATATATATATATATATATATATATATATATATATATATATATATAGTCATAGATAGATAGATAGATAGATAGATAGATAGATAGATAGATAGATAGATAGATAGATAGATATGTATGTATGTATCCATGATTATATCTTATGTTTATTTATATTAGTAATTAACTTTGGTCAGTAATCGAGCCTAGGACGTATATATATATATATATATATATATATATATATATATATATATATATATATATATATATATATATATATATATATATATATATATATATATATATATATATATATATATATATTTGGATGACAAAAAAGCTGTACAGAAGCCCGGTCGCAGAACACTTCTCCTCCCCTGGCCACACTTTCAGTGATATAATACTTATCGCTATTGCTAACAACCACAGCTGGAGTTCCGAAACCAGGAAGGAAAAGGAATCATACTGGATACGCCGCCTTAGAACATTGAAACCAAGCGGTCTAAACCAAGAAGACTAGAAAATGAAAACTATGCACTAGTAGAATTTAACATTTTCTAAATCTTTTTATTATCCTTCAATTTTTACTATAAGAATAACCGGTATAGAATCAAATATCCGGGATATAATCTGCGTTACATATGTACACAAAGTAAAAATAGATGTCGCTTTGGCTTGTAGACTTTTAGGGAATTATACAACGTTTTCAGTTTCCGCAACTAGTCTATACAAGCTGGTTGTATTTATAGTGTTAGCACATGTAAAGACAGAAATGTAGAGGTTTACAAACACAACGTTTTTGTGTTTATTTGTTTGTCGTAACTATGTTTTGTATTTGCCTTTGAAAAAGACTCATTAAGAGTCGAAAGCGCTTAGGCTAGTTAGTTACTAGTTTCGTACTGTTCGTCGTCAGTTTATTGCATCTATTTTAATTAATCCCTGACAAACGTGATCCCTTGGTGGATCCAGTACGCTTGAGAGGGTTGTTATTCGCCATATGATTTGTATTCTTTATATATATATATATATATATATATATATATATATATATATATATATATATATATATATACCATGTGTGTGTGTGTGTTGTAAAAAAATCTTCTTTAAACAGTTATTCATTATTATTACAGTATTATTATAGTTCTTGAAAGTAATAACATTCAATTTCTAAGAAATGGCAAATATGTGCTGGTGTGTATGACTATAATGGGGCTTTCAGTGCAAAATTTTTCCGCTGAAACCGGGTAATTTTCACTGCCCAGCCTGTAAAATATTTGGGGATAACCGCTAACAAGAACTTTACTGTGAATTCATCATTGCAGGTGTTTTTAAGTAACATATAATGTATTATATTTCGACAGAAAATTTCAGAACTAAGAAATAACTGTAGAGACTATATATGGAAAATAACTAACCTGAGTTTTGTCAATAGAATAAAGTTTAAATTGGTGTTAAAGGATTATTATTAATGACAGGCACATTAAATTTTGATACCATGTGTATATTGACTGTAAATTAGAACTTTGTAAATAAAAGATTTAAAAAATAATTTTAACAAAATTTGAAATAACTTTTAAGAATTTTAATTTTAATTAAATTTTACGTTTCAAAGTAGTAATTGTATAATATGGACATGAAATATAACATCAAAAGTTATATGAGCTGTTGTCATATAAGGGCCTTGACACAAACATACGGAAAAAGAAGCATGTTTACCTTCTGGTATCAATAGTAACGATGAGAACTATGAACGTTCCTAAAGAGCTAAATGCATCCCATATCTGCCACAATAGTTTTGTGTGGATGTATACCACCTCTATCTGGAATTTCAATCTATCAACAACAAAAGGCAGTACTGCAAAATACATTGTAATTCTTTTGAGCATGGCGCATTTCAAACTGCATGCTGAAGTTCAAATTGTGATATATAATAATCACGTGTATCATGATATCTCCTGTATCCCTATGGCATGGAAGTTGGTTTCATATATTAAATAGGGTGGGGGTGGGTTACTGGTTGATGGATGGATGCATGTATGGATGATTGTGTGGAGTAAGGAAGATATAAGAAACAAAGAAGTTGATCTTAATTTTGTTTCCCATGACTAAGCTTTCATGTTAACTATCTTCAAAAATCATTCACATTTTCATTCGTTCAGTCGGTCGGTCAGTAAGCCAGTGCATGTATTAATTTTCTCCTTTACTTTCTTTATCTATGTCTTTATATTCTGAAAAAACTGTTTCAACCACTCAATACTTCTCAACAGGTGGTAGTAGGTAAAACATCTGCACAAAACATGCGCCGTGTTACCTACCGTTTAACCCACGATAATTTTCCTCTCTGTAGTATGTGTTTTTCATAGTCTTTTTTAGCACTGTCATTTTGTGCATGGGCAATGATCATCTCTTCTAAATGCAGTATCCGTTGACTCCTGATAATCCTGTGTGTAGGAGTAATAGCCCTTGGAGTCCAGTATTCCTTTGCAGTAGACAGACATCCTGTTGCCACGATGTTGCCAGTCTGTGTATTGTTAAATGTTATCTTGCCTCAAAGTTTCTTGAATAGTTAATATTTTCACGTAATGAAACACTATTTGATCTGTTCAAATCCTTATTTTCTGTATAATTGTATATACAGTCACAATAGTTGTAAATTACATTAATGTTTCATTTTCAGCACTGCTTTTTTTTTATCATTTTATGACATGTTTAGATGAGTCACGTAATGAGTGCCCATAAATGATGATCGTATCTATTAACTGTTATTACGTCTTCCCTCACAGACCTTTGAATAATGCCGACATTTATACAGCCCATAGAACAACAGCGCAGAGCGGTATTCCGTAATTGGGCGAGTTGACATTTAATATTTCTAACATCACATTCGTTTAAAGATCAAACTGCAGAAGGATTTAATATCTAGACAGAGAATTCCCTTTTTCTTTTCTTGCTCTTATGTTTAGACACATGTTTTCAGTAAGTATTGCAGAACTGCTCAGTTTGAACTGTGTGCGTACCAAATTAGTGAGGTCATTCAGTCATTATACGTCATCAGCATCTGCATCTGTTTTGCATGTCAAATGAGGATCTCATGCCATTTCATACTCTGAAAGCGGTTTCGATTTGTCACAGAATTGCTGTGAAGTCAAAGTGGCTTTATAAACATTACACATCAAAACATTGGCATTTGAGCCAATCTCCAGTTTTTCAGCACAGTTCGTTTTCTACTGCAGTTCCTGAAATGTACTGCTTCTCTGTAGCAATTTCACAACTGCAAAATTTAACTTTGACAAGTTTTTTTTTTACATGACCAAAGCTAATTGCATTGCATCTACATAAAACAGCATATATTTCCACGCCACGCATGACATTAACTTGTCAGACTAGTTTCAGATTGTCTGTCAAATCAGTTTCATATAGCTCCACAGTAGCTTTTACCCAAAATGCATGAAGCCCTTTTGCATGTGATGTCTGGTTGTGGAATGTCAGTGGCTGCAAGTATTTAGCCCTGGCGTTGCCCGTTGGTGTATATTGTAGTCCAGAATGAATCATCATATTTACAGTAGCTGGATTTGGCACTCTGGTAACTTAAAGCTGCAGTTCTCATGCACCATTGCATGCTCCCATGCAAGTCTCATTTTCATCCACCAGCAGTTTCCATCTCGGGTCTCTAACATATTTGTCCTGGTTGTGATAGCTATAGATGATATCGTTCCAAATGTAAACGGAAGTTACAGCTAATACTTGTCCCATCAGGCTGATTCACTTCTGTCTCATATTTGGAAGTATTTTGGAATAACATATAATTTATTATGCTTTTAACACAGTGGAAACGTCAGTTCAAAACAAAAGTAGGAACTACATAGGGAAAAAAAACTATGGCATGTGTCTAATTCATGCGTCAGTCTGCAACGAACGCAAAGAAATCACAGTAGCGGCTTACCACTGTTGGGAACTGACATGCTGAAGATGTGCTGCCATTCTAGTTTTTAGCTCATCTTTCAAAATCACATTTCAATAATGTTTTGTTATGTATAATTGATTTGCATTGTTTGTTAGTGTGTTAGTGTTTCCTTGCATATGCTATGGGTTATGTAAAGTTGTATTTTGTAGCTGACAATGTTCAAAATCATATTCATTCTCCTCTTAAAAAGAATCATTGATTATTTTTATTATGTAAAAAATTAATGCTTAGCTACTATTTTCTTTGAGTATGTGTTTAGTATTAAGATCATTATCAAC